CTCTCTCTCTCTCTCTCTCAAGCTAATATTTTTAACAATTCCTTGTATCCAATAAATGATTGAATTATAAATTGATTTGCGCTATAAAATCTCAAGAAATGTTGATATATCCTTTATCATGTTACACAATATTCGTGCGGGACGGAATACAGAGCGCAACTTAGACTAATTACGGTTCCACTCTTTTTAATCCTATTAATAATTAATATGACGCATTTTATCTTTTATATTTACTCAAGATTTATATTTACTTATTACCTGGAAAACTTAGAATTTTCAGAGGATTTCTTTTTTATTATTGAAAATGAGGGATTTTCATGGAATTTTATCGGTGCTTAAGGGAAATTTTTGAAATGTTATTTTTAAATTTAAATTCCATCTCTTTCTAAAATATTGTTTTTTTCAGCATTTTTCTTTAAAACTATAATGCAAATAGATTGACAATCTATTAGCAATAAGTTGATATAAACATCCGCATATATTCATTTACATTCTCATGTGTTTGCGAATTTTTAACAAGAAAATCAGTGGAATAAAATAGTTTCATCATACTACTCCCTATTGGTATACTTCTCTATAGAAATCTACCCTATAGATTTCACGACTTCTAGTTGTAGAAAATAATAAATGTAGTCTCATGAAAAACTAATTTACAATATATCGTTTACATTGCTTACACTTCAATTTATATTTCAAAGTTATATCAGAAAATTTTTTAATATCTTGTCTAGATTTTTGAGTAAAAAATACCTGAAAAAAATTTGGGAATTGGCGAATTTTTTTGCAAGTAACACTTGATATTTCTTAGTTGTTACTTATATTCTCAATGGATTTATAATTGTATTTTTCTTACAAGAAAAACAACTGCAAAAAATGCGACTTTTTCTATCTTGTTTACCTATTGATCTACTAGTTGAAAAACTTGACAATGCATTCTTTACTGCAAAACAATTTATCTTTCTTTATCGCCATTCTGCTGTTGAGTAAATTTCTCTTACAGCTGTAGCAGCAAAAGCAGGCTTGAGTTGCATGAAAATTTAAATTTTTTACAGCTACTCCTTGTTGATCAGCAGCAATCACTATATTACAAGCAGCACATGTTTTTGCATATGATTTTTGATAACAAGGAAGGCATAGTGGTCGATCGTTTTCGGTAATATATTGTTGCCCAGCCAATGGCATATCACAGTCCCAGCAACAAAAATGCTTCACGTGATAATTGTGTCCCTCTGCAACCGTGTACTCTCGTACAAAGATCAACTGCAAGAAAACAGAAGCACCATTGTTAAGTAAGTATAAAATATAATTTTTACCCTGATAGCAAAGCTTGCGGAGACAGATTTTGAACAGAACCTGCTACCAATTTTTGATTGCAGAAAGGCACCAAATTGTTGCCAGAAATATGACAAAGCTTGCTAGATATGCTATGTCAGCAGATTGGTAGCAGAAACCGAGCAAAGTCTTGCATAACAGATTGAGAGCAGAACCTGATTCGAGCAGACTCTACTCGGTTTCTGCCACCAATCTGCTGGCATAGCCCGTCAACAGGCTTCGTCGACAAATCCATAGCCAAATGCAGACACAGATGGCTATGGTTTTGTAGTAAAATGAAATGTAGTAAACTTCTGATGAATGTTTACTGTCAATTTGGCCCCAAACTGCTAACATTTTGCTATCAGAGTAAATAGGAAGAATGGTTTACTTACCTCATCGCAAGCGAAACATCGAGGGATTCCGAGAAACGTAGCCAAATCTCTTCCGCAATACAAGTTATTCTTGTAATAAAAATACACGAGATCCACCAACAATTCATTGCATACTGAACAAACGAAGCAGCCAGGATGCCAGGATGCATTATTAGCCTTCTCCACGATTACGACTACGTCTCCAACACGAATGTTATCATGACATTTTTCGCACTTGTGCATTTTTGTCGAGTCTATCTTTAAACCTTCAATGGCATCTTGTAGAGAGTCCGTAAGTTGTGTATATCGTTGATTGGTATCACCTCCAATGATGTGAGGGAACACTTGGTTTTGCAACTGTTCGGAATGTATCACGGACGATTGCAGGACCGAACTACTCAACTCGGCTTGCAACGGATTGGATATATATACATCGATAGGATTTTGCGAATCAGGAGTTTGTGCCGATAGGACATTCGTGGGATCTGTAGAATTATGTTTGTTCGATAATGTGTGTGGATCCATAGTGCTTTCCGTAATGGAAAACGCTTGAAACGTATCCGTCAGCAACGGATCATTATTTTCCGCTTTGTTATTCGACAGCAAGTCGCATCGCGACTTTTGTTCGTTTCTTTTGATACTATCAGATACAATGGTCGAGTCAGCTACTTGAGAGTGAGAGACTTTATTGAACATTTTTCTCTCTGTTTCGTAAGGAGTACTCCTTACTTTTGCCTTTTCTGCGAGGTTTGCCGCAGGGAGTAAATTCATAGTAGCGATAATAGGTGTTGTCCCTACAGGCTTGTCGACGTGCAGGATACATGCAGGATTGTTATTTTCCTTAATTCCCCCATCACGTGGACGTAATATGTCACTTGTGTCTAACGGTCGGGAGAATTTAGACACAGCGCACATTGCTGGATTTTTTGCGACGTTATACTTATCGGCAAGTTTCTCCCTTATAAATGTCAATCCCTTCTCGTCCAATGTGCTTCCGATAATATCATTGGCGTGTATAGCACTGGGTGGAAGAAGCGCGTCCGCAAACATGGATTCCGCGGAGAAAACTGTCTCATCATTAATAACTTCTCCATGTGTTGCGATGCACATGGTGGTATCGACGTGATTCAACGTTTCTCCGTGTCGCTCGAAAGCATTTCCTCCATAAGGTACATAATTTCGACAAGTATGCTTTTCACGAGCAGGTACGATTTCTTGCTCAGCAAGATGTGTGAAAATCGAAGAATTAATTATCTTGTCATCTACTGCAGCTTTCCTTTCGTCTACCTGCAATACGGTATCATGTTGAAAGTTTTCACAAATCAATTTCCCTTCGATTGGTTGCGACCTCGCAATGTTGCTACTGGCGGACACATTATCCAATGTACAATTGTACTCTTCTGTACTTCTCATTAAGATCTCATTGTTATTTATGGCTGTAGCAGCGGCTTGTTTATTTTGAGCGTCACACAGGTGCCTCACATACGGACCTTTTATGGCGAAGCTACTCGGTGTACGTAATTGAACACCAGTGGAAAGTATATGAGATTTATGCTGTGGACTGTACTTTTGCATATCAGTTGCATTGACAGGTGTCATTAGAGAACAGTCGAATGGACGGGCACCGAACATCTGTGAAAATAATAATATCTTTATTAGGTATATAAAACAAAATGTGCGCTATTTATTATACGAAAATAAATGTTTGAAAATTCGCTTTAAGCAAGTCTTGGATATATAAATATAAATATCTACGATACTTATACCATCTTACAAATCTGCAACTATAACAATAATTTATGTGTAATCAAGTCGCCATTACTTACTTTCATCACTTTGCCTTGTCCTACATATTTCTTTATGTTTTCCAAATATTTTTCAAACTGTTTCTGCTCTTGCTCGCTAAGTTGATCACAAATTTTATAATCGATATCATGAAGCGGTAGTTGTTTCTGCAACAACTGCCTTCTCAAAACAGCACCAACTGATCCTTTAATCGGCAATTTCTCCGTGGGCAAAGCTTTCATGTAATCCACAGCAAGTTCTTTAGTTGTATCCGGCGGCACCCACTCGAATGTAGTTTCATCATCGTTTTGTTTCTTATTGTTTACTTGCAATCCTAAAGATCAATTTTTCTAATATAAGCACACACGCGCACACGCACACATGTACAAAATACTTACGCATGGATTTCTTTTTAAATTTTCCGCTTGATCCAAATAGTAGATCAAATTGTGGGAATTGATCGTCATCGACATCGTGATCGTCCCGACCACATTTACAGTTCTTGCAAATTTTTCTCCAGAAATGAAGATCAAGACCAGGACACGTGGACTTACAGTTTGTGCATGGTGCACCAGCTCCAGCTTCGTGCGCTAAACGTGACTGAGCAAACGTAAAACAATCAATTGACTTTCAATCTTAATTTTACATAGTATAGGTATCTACGTTACATTTCTTTCCTATCTCTTGAATCAAATTAAATCAAATTACATGTTGAAATTAAATGTACCTTTTGCTTACGATTTTCCAGTTCCAACAGCCACTTTGGGCGATTTGTCGTTTCCTCCTCCATCCTCCAGCATGAAGAATATATACTTAATTGAGCATCAGACTTGTATCTTCAGTGCAAACTTATCTTGTGTGGTCACTTGAGATATACACATACAACACAAGTGTGCATGAATCATCAAAGCAACTATTTGTACCAATACTCGGAGGTATTCGAGGTATAAACAGTCTCTTCCTTTCAAAAGCTATATGTATACACACACATTCGGGTGCGCACACTAGCGCACACTGTCAAGCAGGTATCAGGCTGATCAGGCATACGCTGGCATTCACACGCACACACGCCTGTTTTTACTCCCCTCTACTACGTTATTCCGGCCCCGCCGCGAAGTGGGGACCCTCGTCAAAGACCAAACGAAGATATACTTACTGTAACGACGAGCACTATACGAGCATCAAGTGGGACCAAGCGGCACTTTGCGTCTCATTGTATGTACGTTGATTAGCACGTTTCAGTGCTTTGTGAATCTTAATAATATAACAAAGACGAGGAAAATAAATTCCTCTGAAATCCTTATTTCCTGTACACACAAATAAATATTTGTCACATTTGTCATAAACGTGTAACTATTTCTAGAATGTTTCATTTACTTGTGTAACGATACGAATATCTAGTAAGTAAATCATTGAAGAACTCAAAGGAAAGGAATCAGAAGGAAATACTAACTGCGTTTACATTTTACACAAGTTTTATACGTATATATATATATATGTATATTTTTTTTAGAACACGTACATTAAATTATATCAAGAGAGTGAGAGTTTCAGTCGAAATATATCTCTTAAATATGTATGTCTTGTACAATTATATGTCTAACATTTTCATACTTGAAAAGCCGCATCAAATTCCTCTTGCGATATCTGTAATTAAATAGAAACATTATGTAAAAGTACAAAAGTAGAGAGACGACTGCGGGGCTTATTTTTTTAACACAGAAAAAACATGTTACCTTCTTTTTCTTAAATTTTTTTATTAATGCTACATCTTTCGCCAATTGTTCAACATCTTCCTCGCTTATTCGTTTTCTCTTCTTTTTATTAGAAATTGTCAAAAATTGTTGTTTCAATTCCTTCCTTTCCTTTCGTTTACTTCGTTTTTCTCGTCTCTCGAGTTTTCTCTTTTTGGTTTCAGACCAAGATTCCGCTCGTTTTTGTTTACATCTATTCTGATTATTTGTCCAAACACCAGTGTTCCGATACTCATTCAATCTTTTAATTCTGCGCAATTCACGTTGTTTGTGTACATAAGGTATCGTGTTTACATCAATTTCAGGACCAATAAAAGACGATACGTTCTTCCCTTTGAGCTCCGGCATTTTTGGCATTCTCAAAAGACCGAAACCCATCGCCAGTTTTCCTAAATCGATATCTTTTAACTGTAGAATTAAATTACATTCGTGTTTATTATACGCCTGCACGTATGAAACGAAGGCACGATTGGCTTTATCAAACATAAGTCGATCCCTTTGTTGCATCCGCCTCATGCACTGTAAGCATTCATCAACAGTCTCCTCGTTTAATTCTCTTTCCATTTGACGCAGTTCGACTTTTTGGTTTCTTTTAATGAAATCTACATATGCACTCTCTGTTTCTAGAAGAAATAGCAATGCGTTTCCTTCATTACCGATTCTCGCAGTTCTACCGCATCTATACGATAAAAAATAACAATTTAAAGAATAATAACAATTTAAAAAATAACAATTTAGAATAAATCTTCAAAATATTGACTAAAATTTGTTTCCATGCATGTAACGTAACGCCTATGTTACCTGTGTACGAAACTGCTGGCTGTACTGGGAGGATCATATTGTAACACCCAGTCTATTTCCGATATATCGATTCCACGAGCCATTACATCTGTGCATATTAAAATGCCATTTTCGGCATATCGAAATTTATCAAACACTTTATATCTCTTACTTTTCATTTTACCGTGTAAGGCAAGTACGTTTATCGATGGCAATAATCTGTAAATATGCATAAGTCTATACATATACGTATGTGTGTGTACGCGCGCGCGCACGCGTGTATATGTAATATTTATTAACATAATACAACTATTTATATTAGGGATGCCCCGGATATCCGGTAGGACAATTATCCGGCCAAATACTGGATATTTTCTAGACATCTGTCACAAATTCTCCAAAATTAAAAAAAAAAAGAAAAACATTGTCCAGCTGTGGAACAGGGTTGTTTGCAATACAGTTTCAACTGTATAATTGCTAAATATTCAAAGTTTAAGTTAAAAAAATTTTATAACATTAACAAATTTTTTATGACAGATAATAATATTTCAGCATTTTTCAGTGACAATCTATTTCGATTATCGGTATAAACCACCATAACTGTAAAAGCATAAACTGTGCAACAAGTTCAGCTGCAGAGAATTGAATTCTGCATCAATGACGCAAACCTTTAATTAAAAATTTCAGCTGGATATATTACCGGATATTAATGCTATCAATCGGATAGTGAAAAAGTACCAGGTACCGAATATTTCCTGAATATCCGATGCATCCCTATATACAAAGAATATTTTGTCAAATTTGATTTAAAACGTCACCGTGGGTGTGGAAATATGTGTCAGGAATTATGTCCAGATAACTCTAGGACTGCGGTCGCTGTTGCTTACAGCGCTTATGAGCATCAATTGTCCCTGTTTAATATTTAATAAACAATAAGAATGAAACGACGCTTAAAGCGTTGTGAGCGCCAAGCGAACACGGCCTATGTTATAGTTTACGTTGCGTATACTATAGCAAAAATGTACATCAGAGTTATCTGGGTGTATAATTCTTGAACGCATCCCATTACTTTCGACAGAAGAGAAAATTAGAAAAAAATCGATTTCTTAAAAAAGCAAATGTGATGTAAAATGAAATATGTTGTATGAAATTTAGCAGCAAATATAAAATATTTTGTTTAATATTTAATATTTTTCAATTATGCCCTTACGCCTGTATAACCCGACTGAAATAATCCACACACGCGCAGGTAGGTAAAAATATCATATACTTTGTTTTAAATCCTACTGAACGTATAAAATCTATCATTACTGGCAACTTATATTCAAGCTGAACAATTGTAAAACTATTTTTTAAATTTACAGGCGTGGAAACATTAGACTTTTCTTTCACAACAATCAAAGCTGGATTTCTCAGTCCCGCTCTGATCAATTGCTGCAGCTCTTTCGTCTGTGTTGCAGAAAATAATCCTGTTCTTCTAAGACGTGGCAAATAGCTTAAAATACTATCTAAAGTCGCCGAGAATCCCAAGTCTAATAATCTATCTGCCTCATCTAATACAAGAAATTCCTGAAAGAATAAGAGTATACCTAGTTAATAATTCAGGACTCTGTGCCATGTAAATGACATTATAACAAGAGAATAAGATACGTACCAAAGATTTTATATACAGGCCCAAATTGATGTAATTAGACAAGATATCTTTCAATCTACCAGGTGTGGCAACAATAATATTTGCTCCTTTCTTCAACTTTTCTGCATCTTTCTGAAGCGTCACACCACCAACCAGTAATACTTGCTTTAACAATGGAATTCTTTTTAAGAACTCTTCTAGAATTTCACTAATTTGTATAGCCAATTCTCTTGTAGGACTGACTATTATTGCTCCCACTTCCATAGTCTTCCATTTTTCATTTCGTTTCTATGCACACATTTAAAAAAATACACATATGCTTACTTTGTATGTAATACAATTACATAAATCTTTAGAATAGCATATATAAATCGTTTTGTTAAATTATACTAAATTTACCAAAAGGAAGAATAAATTAAAGTACTCTTTATATTGAAATTAACTTCTATTTTTAAGTATATCTAAATCAATTAAGTCTTTCACTTAATCTGTTATATCTTTTGACACAAGCAATATCTTTTCAATGCATCGAATGTAATTTATAAAATCAACATTTTATATATATATGTATATAATGTAAGTTTCAAAAAATATGTCATTTTTTTAAATGTTTAGAAAGATAAATGCACATAATGAAAGATTACTTGTAACATCTCCAATAGAGGAATAAGGAAAGCGAGTGTCTTGCCACTGCCTGTAACTGCTTCTGCCGCAACATCTTTACCATTTAATAATAAAGGTATGCAAGTTGCCTATATATAAATACAACAATAGATATATGTAAACGAGTATATAATCTTTTGCAATATTTTCACATACATTTCCAACATGTTCGATTTACATGCATGATACATATATATTAACACTGTTTTGTGTATATATATATATATATATAAATATATATAAATATATAAACCTGAACAGGCGTCATATTGAAAAATCCCAACTGTTTGAGTGTTGTCAATACAGAATCACTCAGTCCCACATCTAACTCCTCCCACTTCTGTGTTTTCATTATGATTGTCTTCTTTTTCTTTTTACTCTCCGTTTATTCCAAAAAACATTCAAACAATTTCTTCTATTTTTGTAAAAATTATGTCAGTGGCCCTATTTAAAAGGTCCGCATGGTCCGCACCACTGAAGGACTGAACTATAGGTCTGTTCTTTTTGGCTGAACTTTTGCACCAGTTCATCTTTCTTCCTTTTCTATTCACGAGGAAAGTTCAGCCAAAAAAAACAGGCCTTATTATAAACACAGATGTCTATACTAGGGGCGCGTTCCACTTAACGTTCGCAACGCTCGCGAGCATCATTTCATCCTTGTTTAATATTTGTAAACGATAAGGATGAAATGATGTTCGCGAGCATTGCGAACGTTGAAGCTGGTTCTACATTGGCTGCGTTCAGCAGACTCAACAGTTTTGCAACCGTTTTATGATTGTCTGTTGAGATAGGACCATTCTTCTAGATCTAAAAGTATGATCCAATCAGCGCGAAGGAAACTTCCAACAGTTGCAAAACAAACGTTCTGCTGAACGCAGCCATTAATCGCATCGTAGCGTCGCGAGCGTTGCGGTCCAATCAACATCGATCTAGCTTGATTCTGATTGAACCACAACGCTTGCGACACGCTTACGACGTCGCGCTGCGACTAATGCGTCGTCTACAATATGCGGAATAAGCTTGGTTTAAGAAGAGTAAGAAATTGACCAATCACAGTCGAATGTGAGAAGAATAATCGACTGTGATTGGTCAATTTCTTATTCTTACTTTTTAAACCAAGCTTACTACGTGTATTGTAGACGGGCCATAATGTAGAACCAGCTTAAGTGGAACGCACCCTTGATTGTGACAGTCGCCAATGTGCTGTGTGCGGCAGGATATCCGGTTTCAGCCATGTTTGACCGTAACAAAATGGCGGCGAACATGTGTATTTTAGTGCATAGATGATTTTTACTAATTTATTGCGATTTTATTGTCGATGTGTTTCCGTTGCCGCTGTTGCCGGTATACAACGCGTTAATATTTGCTCGAGAAAATCAGTATTCTCGAGTAAATCAGTATTACAATGCCAAGCACTTGCTATGTAAAAAATTGCCAAAATAATAATAAAAAAGGGTTTCATTTGTTCAGGTAAGTTAGATATATATTTGGTAAACGTGACACTTTCATATTATTTGAAGGTTATGTCTAAACTAAAGCAAAGAATAACTATTTCAGATTTCCTCTGAGTCGAGAAGACCATTTAAAAAAATGGATCGAGGCAATTGGACAAACAGATTTAAAGCCATCTAAAAATCATGTAATTTGCAGCACACATTTTACAACTGATGATTTTATGGACAGACCTGGTACAAGCAGTAATAGATCTTTGCTGCTTTCCTGCTTGCCAAGCACACTAACCTAATAGCGTTTTCGATTGGGAAAAAGTTAGTGCGCACCAGTGCGCACTCAGTTCACACCAACACTGGACGAGTTCCATGGGTTGCACTGAATAGTGCAAGTTCAAAAAAACACGCCAAGATTTTCAATGCTAAAGCTGAAGTGCCATTTCAAGTTGTGAAAGGACTTGACTAGACTGTAGGAAGAACACAGAAAAATAACCTCGACATTTCATGCTCATAACTTTAAGTAATGATTTTTTACTATATGTATCCAGTGCACTGAATCTACTGGCACTATCAAAATATCTCGTACTACTTAGTGCGCACTACGCGAGTATCATGCGATCAAATGTAACACATGACACTAGCCAAGTGCGCATTGGCACTGCCAATCGAACACTCTCTTGACACCTGAGTGCAGCCAATGGATGCATTCAGTACTACACTGCTCACTGAGTTCTTGATCTATTTGGTCTATATTTTTAGTTCTAACGGAATATGCCAATCAGATGCAAGAGCTCACTGAGCGCTCAGCGAGCAGTTGTAGTACTGAATGCACCCAGTGCACCCCAATCGAAAAAGATATTAGTATAGTAGTTCAGGTCTCTGGAATAATATTAGTTTGAAATCATTAAACATTTTTAATCTGTGTCTTTCACTATGTTTAAAAGTATTCCGTTATTCATATTTTTATATTTGAATATATTATGAATAATAGTATCTTATATTAGGCTGCTTTCTTTTTAAGAGACACAGTCGACACAAGTGTCGTTCTATCTTTGTCACTCTCTGAATGTCAAGAAGGATAGAACGATGCTTGTGTAGATTTGTGTCATCAAATGGAAAGCAGTGTTAGAGTAACAGAATACTTTTATTTAATTTTATCTGCTGAACGCAGTCACTGACTACGTTTACACGGCTTGATACACCGAAGTTACAACATCGATGTTATGAAACCAATTACAGTCATTCCATTCTTTAGAGGAATAATTATAATTGGCCAGCTTCATAATATTGATATATAATTTCGACGTAAATCGAACCGTGTAAACGTAATAAATCACGCAGCCAATGACAAAAAAAAGATTGAAGAGGTGGGAGGGAGAGGAGAGAGAGAGAAGAAATGAAGGGCTCGAAGAAAAAAAGACGCGCTAGAAAATTGGTTTTTAACGTATTGATTTTATTTTGATGTTTTTCTTCTTTTTAAATCTCTTTAATATAAAATCTGTTTAACGATGCCACACATTCAACTATCTCTCTCAGGCAAAAGTTGTTTTTGCTTCCTTCCATTTATATACACGATTAGGTCTAAGGCCGTAGTTGTTTAACTTTCTTTTCCCAATCGGTATCGAGCGTGGACGAAAAATTCATCTGAACGCAGCCTTTTACAAGGGGAATCGGAGATTAGCGATTGAGATTAGGAAAGAAAAAAATCAAATATTTTGCACCTTTCTCCTATTCAACTCGACATCAGTATCCTGTGCCAGGATCAAATTCCTGTTCTTATAGATCGTTTGACATCACATATATCTCTAACTCGGAATAAAACGATCTTTTTTTTCTAGTCTTTTCCTATTTTTTATCCTGTCTTTTTCCTTATTTCGATAACATCTGTACAACGGCACGCGAAAATGAAAATGTTTTCACACATCGTACACGCATACTTGTTACAATTCTTACTCTACACGTTGTAACGCGACAAATATTAAGTTATCCTTTCGAATCTAATCGAGCGAGTACGGCGCTACCTCTTTATTCTTTCTGGGTCACATCTTCGAGCAGAACAAACAAATGGTATTAATGAGATACGAGAGATGCTGATGTTCTTTTTCTTCGACGCCTCTGATTTCATCCCTTGTCTTAATTGGCAGTATACGCTACGTTCAGATAGATTTCCAAGTCCATGGTATCAAGCATTCGCACGTTTTCACTTGTCGACAGAGGTACATAATTAGGCAAAGGATTCGTCATTCAAGAACTCGCATTACTTCACTAATTACAAGTCTCTGCCAAGTATGGCGTTATCTTTTCTTTCTCATCAAAATTACTAACGGATGTATCATGATACCCGTCACGTAATGAAGTAACTGTTGAATATAAGAAATGATGAAGCCTCGCCACGTTTCCTTTCCTACATCTCGTACACACAGAGGCCAATCTGAAGATAGCGACAAAGCTAATAATATCGAGCTTTTTTTTCCTTTTTTTTTTCTTTTTTAAGCTTCTGCAACAACGTGCTTCTCGTTATTAGATTTTGCGTCTGTTACCGTGTATCATTAGGAAATGAGAAGAAAGGAAAACAAGTCGTACCGAACCATTGGCGAACAGAATAGCAACACGAGATGTAGAGTTTACTATTGAAATCAATTGTTAAAACTTGGATAATAAACTCGATTGTGAAAACGTGCAAATTATATACCTCTCGAATGTCTGTTGTTCGCACCGTTAACGTTAGCACGATTTGTATTCAGTATGCAAATGTTGTATCTCGCATACTCGATGTAATCTTTCGCGTTCAAAGATCCTGCGCGTATCAACATCTCGTAACAAAACTCATTATCAACAAATCGCAGAATCGCATATCTCGCTAGCGTTTTACCCTGCAAACCGTACTCCAGTTTTGTTAGTTATCGCTTGCTTCATTCAAATCTAACTCGAAAGAGTCGTGTGATCGTCCTATCTTCTTTTTTCTCCAAATTCTTCCTTAATGAATGGAATCGACACGCAGTCACGGGCAGAAAAATATGCCACATGTACTTCCATATTCTCTCTCGTGTAATTTCAATAATCATCTTGATTAAAAACAACGAATGGGGAAAAAAAGCCAGAGAAAGGGAAAGGGAGAAAGTATTCACTCGCGCGTGATCGATCTTGTTTTTCCACCGAATTGTTACTTGATATTACAATATAATGCAAGTTATGTTGTATGTATAATAAAATTAAAACTGCTGAATTTAAAATATGTCTATTAAACGCGAGCGGTATATTTTCTGCACACATTGAGCACTACTCGATAAAATGCACGATCCAAAAGATCATTAAATCTTTCTCCGGTAGACATGCTAATCCGATAAAAGTGAACTCGTGGGAATTTTGCGAAATTGCATAATGATGAAAACTATCATTTTACAATTTTAAAACTTGATTAAAATAATCAAGAAGATTTTTTACGGGACTCAATAATACAGGCCATAGGTCATTCAACGATCGACCTACATTTGAATAACAAGTTACCTTCAAGATGGTCGGCACTCTCCAATCATTTAGAATCATTTATAGTACCATACGGGATATTTATATCATTGATTACTGGCTGAAAATATAATCGGCCTCTCTTTCCTCCCATTGTAATCAGTAAATGTATGTGAGAGTTATAATTTAAAACTGCTCATCAACGCAGAAAGTTGATGATTGATGCTTAATTTATATCGATTAGCGATCGATAAATCGAGAACGCATAATTAAAGCAAGAGCGGCTCTTCGAAAGTTCCAACAATTGACACGCCATCATGAAAGTAACTCAATTTTGAAAGTCTTATCCTACCTTTTCAGAATACTATCGCTTTTCCTTTTCTTCCTTTACTTTATGCCGCAGCTACTGATTGTGCGGTAAAATGACGGGTATAGTCTGCTGCGCACCCGGAGGTGGCTGCGGTGGCAGGTATTGCATGTGTTGTGGTGGAATTGACGGTATATGAGATGGAATTATAGGGCACATGATCGGATAGCTCGGCGCGTGACCTTGCGGAGGAGGTTGCGGATATGTAGGCTGTGGAGTGCCAGGTGGATTATAAGCGCCCGGTGTATGTGGTTGATTCGGATTAGCTGGAGACGGCGTTTGGCTAGGTGGCTGCTGGGCTACATGAGGATGCGGATGAGTGTGCGGGCCCATATATTGTATGCCGGGGGCTTGCGGCCCTTGCGAGTCATGGTGATGATGGTACGGAGTGGCCATATGAGGTGGCGGCGGTGCCTGGACCATTCGTACCATTTGTTGATACGCCGGTTGTCCTGGATAAGGCACCTGGAATGGATGTATAGCTGGCGCTAATAACGGCTGTCCCGTTGCTGCGGCCACTTGCATCTGAGACGCTATATCTGGCGCACGATGCTGCATCATAGGTACTGTAAAAATCGTATAATATATATATATATTTCTATTTTATGTTTATGCGTGCGTATATAATTATGCCAATCGGCAGAAACGGCAAAAGAAAAAAAAAAACTACAATTGATCTTAAAATAACTTGGATGAAAGAGCGATTTCAAATTTGTTGAATGTAAGATTCGTACGCAAGAACAAATTATTCAGAACAACAAAATAAACAAAACTGTTTTTCAAACCCCTACTAATATTGAAAAAAATAATAATTACACATAAATAATTAAATCTTACGAACCATACAATTACTATATTCGTATTATCACAAACGCACAAAGAAACTCGAGATACAAATGTATCGTGTAAGAATACCCAAGGAATACTGACCCTTCCGGAACCTTGCCACTTGTTGAGTAGGTGGTTGACTGAAAGCTGTCGGCGTTACGTATGCCGGCATAACAACGGTTGCGGGCATAGTCGCCCCTGTATACTGAGGAGTTTGCGGTGTATGCGGCCGACTAGGCGTCGGTGTGCTAGGTGAGCGCTACACATTGTAAAAATACAAATCATATTGTTTCCATTCCAGGGACTTTATTCTTGAAAAAAAAAAGTATACGAAAAACTAGGAACATATGTTACATATGCTATAGTATTTCCCTAGTTTTTCGTATATGTTTCTTTTCAAGAATAGAGACCTAGTTCAACTTTTCACAACAAACTAGTAATATACATTACTTACCGGCGTGAATGGTTTGGCATTTGGATTGAATTCTTTAGCGTTTGGATTTAAAGTAGATTTCTTAAAAGCAGTAGTTATCTTATCAACCGCGGGCTCCGATGGAGATTGTTGCACTGTCGAAGTATTCTGAGGAGTTTGAGCTGGTTGTGGTGGCGGTGGTTGTTGTTGTTGCTGTTGTTGTGGTGGTGGTTGTTGCTGTTGCTGCTGTTGTTGTTGCTGCTGCTGTTGTTGTTGTTGTTGTTGTTGTTGTTGCTGCTGCTGCTGCTGCTGTTGTTGTTGCTGCTGAGGCGGACTTGTAGATCTTACTAATGGACCAGGTGGAGGCTTACTGGTAACTGGTTCCTCTTGTACAGTTTGATGTTGCTGATGAGGACTGGTATGCTGTTGTGTAGGTGGCTGCTGCTGCGATTGCTGCTGTGGACTGGTATGTTGATGAGGACCTTGGTGATGTGGCTGATTCATCGGGGTAGCGGAATGCACATCTTGTTGATGCTGATGCTGTTGTTTTCTAGATATTTGAGGGGTATCTGAAGATCCCTGCGATTCCGCTAATTTAAATTCTGCAGCGAATTGTCTCAGTTCCGAATGCTGTTCTTCTCTTCCACGTGGTGTTGGAACCTTAAAAAGTAAGTAAAAAACTTAAGTTGCTCCGTGATTTAAAAAAAAAAAAGAATTTAAATGAGAATATGTACCTTTCTATGATCCGATTTATGTATAACTATTTGTCCTTCTACAGAGTTTTGTTGCGTCAATGATGTATGTTGCTGATGTGTAGATTGTTGTTGTTGTTGTTGTTGAGACGATGCAACGTTTGATTGTGGAAATGGCGCTGGTGGCGCTTTATCAGCTTGATAAACCTGTCTGCCAGGCCGCTCACGTTTTTCTGTATTTATTTTATTCGGAGGTGTCTGTTGTGGTGGGAAGCTTACTTGCGGCATCGAAGGAGTAACTTGAGATTGTGATTGATTCTGCTGGATTACTATATCGAGAAAACGATAATATAATCATCAAAGTGATCGCTTTTCGTAAGAAATTACTATAGCGGCTTACATTACACGTTCGCTATGTAAAAAGAGCCATACTTATCATTCCACAGAAATATACAAAGAACTGTAATCAACTGAAAATTGTTTCTGCATATATGTGATATATTGCAGCGTTGTCAACGTTGATAACTTTGCAAAGTTAATTTAGTCAAAAACATAATCTTAATGTAAAGCAGATTAGCAATAACGTTTTCCGTTTGATTTTCTTCTTTACAAGAGCAAGCAATATCAAATAATATATGCACAACGACTTTGTTAAATGACTTTGTTAAGGAGCCTTTTATATTGAGATCTGATGATACGCGCGACTCTATCATTGTTTTGGACTTCATATCAGCTTGACAAACAGGATGCGATCTAGTGACCAGTATACATCCATTAGAAGTCTGTATTTATTTTTTTATCTTTTTATTTACCAATTTATATTTTAAATATGTATATACCTTTGTATGTTTAACATTGAGAATAACCCGATCGGGCTCGAGAAACGCCGTTTGTATTATTTTTTATTTAGTTCTTATTAATTATATCATATCTTTTATTTAAATATTGTTTTCTTATGGTTCATAGCTCTTCTCAACACTTTTATTATTAATTTATATTAATTGAACTATATTACACGATGTATTTCAAATAATATACCTTGCTGTGACTGCGTCGTCGGTGGAGGCACAAACGGCGGTGGTGGATTATTATATGTGACAACCACTCCGTTGGGCGGCATACTCATATTTAAGGGTACCGGATGTTGTACCGAGGTATGAGTAGGCTGTACTCCAACCGACATGCTCGGTTGTGGGACATTTACCGTAACCGTGGACGGAGGGGGTTGACTGTAGACATTCTTATTACTTGTGGTTCCTGGCGAAGATGGAGGTTCGCTGGATCTCATCAATTTGCTAGTGTTACCATTTTTCTTTTTCAATGGCGGTGGAATATATTTTCCTTCGGTGGGTCTCGTCTAGAATCAGATAACTAATAAGACAAGTTTGATGGATAAAAAGACAAATTCTGTGAGATATAATCTGAATCTTACCACAGCTGCAAATCTTTCCTCCTCATCGCCATTTTCTAGTTCTAATCTAGCTTTATGATTCGGTTGAGATTCGATCTCATTTGCTATTTCAGCAGCTTTTTGCTCTTGTTCCTTGTAATCTTTCGTGTCTTTACGTTGTAGTTGTAGAGTATAACCGACCAAAGAAGGTTCAAATGTCGTTTGAACTCCGTATTCTTGTTCATTTTTACGAAACATTTCGTTGACGTCCCAACCGTTCTAAAAATTAGATAATTTTACGTGCAATTCATTTAATAATAAGTAGAGTAGAATGTCCTCTTAAAAATAGTCGTAATAAATGTACGCGCTTACAGCAGCACCGTCCAATTCTAAATCAGCTCCATTCATGGCAGTCGGCGGATCCCAGGGTTCGAGTTCCTTCTCGCCGATCAAACCATTAAACTTACTAATAGCTGTGTCCGTTTGAAAAGTATCTCTTATAGCATAATCTAAATCAACGTCCTTGGCAGATATAGTAACAACGTCTTGTGGTTTAAAAATTAATTTTTCTACTACGCTATCTACGCAAATCTTTCCGGAGCTCTCTACACGATGAGCTAACTCCAACACTACGTCAAATTGACTCGAAAATGTTCTAAACACGCCCTCATATACCGAGCCATTTTGAGTTTGAATCTGAAAACAAAGAAAAGAATTTAACATTGAATCACACATAACAACATAATGAATATATAAATAATATAATCATTCTCTACCTGTACGGTATTGCCAACGTGGCTAGTAACCGCATGCATAAAATGAGCATTGTTATAAACCCCCTCTGCTGCGACATTCCTCTCTTGTGGTCCACGTGCTCGCGGAGATCTGGAAAATGACATGGATCGAAAAAAAAACCGTTATTTTTTTCTATACACAATCGTCGATATGTGTTGCTATGTTTTGGATATTATACCTGCTATTATGATCTTGACGAGGAAAGCCAAGTGATTGGCAGTACCTGTTATTATTCGTACGGTTATTCTTCCTCTTGCTGTTCATTTTGCTTGATGGTTCTTGGCCAATCGCTGATGGATTTCTGCCGCCGGTTTGTTGGAGGCCCTCTCGTTTCCTAGTAGGGACCGGAATTTTGACTACTTTCCCGATGACTGCTTGACGTCGAAAATATCCGTTTTCTTGTCCGTGGACGGGTACGGGATGTACGAATGTCTTTACGCGACGTTATTATGTTCGTCGGCTTGACTTGTTGCAGGGGCGACTGACGCGACGAGATGAAGAAAAAGGACGAGGGTGAAGATGAAAATAAAAACGAAGATGAATACGAGGACGAGATAAAGGATAAGGAGAAGGAAGAGGAAAAAGAGGCAACTATCAACATTCACGAAGACTTTTAGGTTATATATTGAAACGAGCTCAAATGCAAAACAATACAAAGTGGGCGCACCAATGCACGACGCACAAGACGAACTCGTCAAACTCAAAAATTGCGTTTAAACCGCGACTCGATACAGGAGCGAAATGCTGTTACGATCACAGCACAAAGATAATCCCTCAGTCGAAACGGAGGACGCGTGTAAGCGATATGTATGTACGTAGTTACATACGCTGACGGCTTGATGGGGGTGTAAGTGCTAAGTGCACGACAGAAGGCGCGAGGCGTCAGCGCGAAAGCTCGCTTCAAACAAGCATCACGCTCGTCTCACGACAATTGTCAACGACCGCGTGACGTAACGCTCTACGCGACGGCTGCTCTTCGATGATAAAGTATCAATACGGATACGGAAAGTTACGTGCTACGATTCGCCTAACGACTCTCGGCCAACGGGCATCAACGGGGCTTTACTTTAGTCTATGGAAGGGAAAAAGAGAAGGAAGGAAAGAGCGAGAGGGAGGGAGGGAGAGAGAGAAAGAAAGAAAGAAAGAGAGAGAACGTACCGACGACCGTGAAGAGTGTAAAGTGCGAACTATGACGGTCTGCGAACGTCGTGTGCCAAGCCAAGTGTGGCGGCGAAGAATCCGTGAAGATGCGCTTTTCTATCTCTCCTTATTTTCAACTAATCAACATGTGGCAGAACGATACACGACAGACTCGCAACCTTTCAACGTACCTACGAGTCGCCTGATCAACCTGATCACGGTGACTCTTGGACGCAGTCGCCACCTGGTGAACGTCTGTCCGTCCGGTTCGTTCGCTCTCGAGGCAATTGTGGGCTCGGATCTAAAGCCTTAAACACAATAGGCACAGACAATAGGCACAGGCAACAGGGAATAACGAGCCAGATCCAATCAGAGCTCTGGGATATAATATCGAACTTATACCCCAGAGCTCCGATTGGACGGCTAGTTATTCCCTGTTGCCTGTGACTATTGCCTGTATCTATTGTGTTTCCAGCTTAAAGCTCTAGATATAGTACGAAATCCATAGACGTTGCTTAAGACTCGAGATGGTCTTAAGCTAGTGCTTGAACCAATCAGAGAGCCGTATTAGCATCTTAAGACAATGGCTGCGTTCAGCAGAACGGTTGTTTTGCAACTGTTGGAAGTTTCCTTCGCGCTAATTGGATCATACTTTTAGATCTAGAAGAATGGTCCTATCTCAGCAGACAATCATAAAACGGTTGCAAAACTGTTGAGTCTGCTGAACGCAGTCATTGGAGTCGATTGCGAATTTTGAAATGAGGTGAAAATTACAAAAGTGAACAAATTCACTAGTTATTCACCAATTAAATTATGAGTATTCCAGTGAATTTGCTCACTTTTGTAATTTTCACCTTATTTCGAGATACACAATCGACCCCATTGTTTGAGATTAAGATTGGATTATGGATTCCGGCCTTATGCGGGGTCTACAATAGAAGTCGTAGCAGTCGTAAGGTCTTAAGTCGTAGAAAATTGACCAATCACGGTCGAATATGAGAAGAATAATCAACTGTGATTGGTCAATTTTCTAAACTGTGATGAATTTTTTATGACTTAAGACCCTACGACCGCTACGACTTCTATTGTAGACCCCGCATTAGTCTGGATCTACAATAGGTGTTTTAAGCCTTAAGCCACAAGAAATTGACCAATTATAATCAAATCCGAGAGGAATAATCGACTGTGATTCGCCCATTTCTTATGGCTTAAGGCTTAAAACCCTATTGTAGATCCGGGGTAATGCTTTTCCTAATTTTATCTATTTGACTAAATTTGACGATATAATTAAAACTTTTGTTAAAATCAAAATATATATTCTGTAATTTTCTTATAAAATAAAATAAAAATAAACAGTATAACTTCTTAAATAAAAAATATTACATTTACACGTCCGCATTTTGCGGCTCCATGGAACACAAGGAGCATGTAAGCACGCAATACAATTGCACTCCGACGTCAAACAAAAATAAACATGCCATAAATGCTTATAAATAGTGATTAATTTGTTTGACAACAATTTGAAATTAGAAGTGCATAATGGATCTTTGATATATGTTATTAGTGCAAATACAACAAATGGTCTGTTTTTTGACGTGCACTAGACTGCACTCTCTTTTCACGTAGTTGCGGATTACGTGAGAAATATCTGCCGTACATACATACGCAATCCCTAGATGCTTTTGCGGACATCCGGTGCGAATTACGAATTGCGGACTGTATGTGACGGCACCCTTAGGCCGGAATCAGACTACGCATTGAAAATTGAGATCGAAGATTGAAAATTGAAATTTGACCAATGAGGGCAAAGGAATTTTAGCTTCTATTGTTTTGATTTGAGGTTGAAGATTGAAGATTGAAATTTGACCAATAAGGATAAAGAAATTTTAGCTCCTTTCATTTCGATTGGTCAAATTTGAATTTTTTAATCTTCAATCTCAATTTTCAATGCATAGTCTGATTCCGACCTTAAAAAGTAATGCAAAGGTGTCTTCCATTTTTGTCCTAGTTTACATTGTGCACTTGATACGGATACTGGCCAGTAACTTTCTATTGATGAATTATCTTAGGCCGGAATCAGACTACGCAAGAGAGATTGAGGTTGAAGATTGAAAATTGAAATTTGACTAGTGAGGACAAAGGAATTTTAGCTCCTATTGTTTTGATTAGTCAAATTTCAATCTTTTAATTTTCAATCTCAATATTCAATGCGTAGTCTGATTCCGGCCTTAGGAACTGCGCAAAATAAAAGGAACAGGGAATAAGAATTTCAATGTATCAGAAATTATATATTGTGAAATACACAGTTTCTGATAGGTTGAAATTCTTATTCTCTCTTCCTTTTATTTTACGCAGTCTTTTAAGATGCCTTTACATGGCAGCGTCAAGCGACGAGCGGCAGAGCATGCGCAGTGATATGTTTAATAATTTTACTGAAATTGAATTTAATGTACGAGATACATTAATAGTGAAATCTTGTAGTTTACACTGTATAATGTAAATAAATATAAATTTTTAGCATTATATGTTAGGATAGAAATGTATATCGGAACATAACCTCTCATAATTTACCATTTCGTATCAAGAAGCTGTGCAGATGATTATTACGCAGGAGTCTGGAGATTCAAACTTCTGCACAGTAATCAGTAGTAATCTTCTGCGCAGATGCTTGACGCTCGACTTGCATGTAAAGTTGGTTCTACGTTAGTCGCATCGCAGTGTCGCAAGCATGTCGCAAGCGTTATGGTCTAATCAGAATCGAGCTAGAGTGATGTTAATTGGACCGCAACGCTTGCGACGCTACGATGCGACTAATGTAGAACCAGCTTAATGGGTGTATTCAGTACTACAACCGCTTATGTCCGTGTCACACTACGCATTGGAGATTGAGGATTGCGAATTAAGGATTAGAATTCGACCAATCAGGTAATTTTAAGTTTAATCCGTTTCGTTCTAATTGGCTGAATTTTAATTCTCAATTCGCAATCCTCAGTCTCCAATGCGTAGTGTGACACGGGCATTACTGAGCGCTCAGTGAGCTCTTGTATCTGATTGGCATATTCCGTTAGAACTAAAAATATAGACCAAACAGATATAAGAGCTCTCTGAGCGCTCAGTAAGCGGTTGTGGTACTGAATGCATTTACTTTTTACTTATGGCACTTTAGTAAATATAGGACTTTACTTTATCTTTGTCTAATATGCGCGCATCGACTGTGTTCCGAACGCATGCATCTTAAATGTGTAAAGGCATTTCTGTCGGTCGGTATATATACTTAAGACGGTCTTGAATAGGTGCATCTAAGGCTGGTATTCATAGTCAGTTCTTATATTCAAGATCGTCTTAAGTTCAGCCTTGAGATGTCATGAACCAATCAGAGAGCCGCGTTAGCGTATTAAGACACTTAAGATTACTTAAGATGGTTTTGAAATAAGAACCGACTATAAATACCGGCCTAAGACCGGAATCAGACTACGCATTGAAGATTGAGATCAAAGATTAAAGATTGAAATTTGACCAATGAGGGTAAAGGAATTTTAGCTCCTATTGTTTTGATTGATCAAATTTCAATCTTTCAATCTTCAATCTCAATCTTCAATGCCTAATCTGATTCCGGCCTAAAGTCTCTGGAAGTAGAGAGTTTGGACATTCAACGGAAGTGCTCTCAAAATGGCGGCGAATATGTGTGTACTCTAGGTTGTGTTCGCTTTGGCGATCATAACGCTTTAAGCGTTGTTTCATCCTTGTTGTTTATTAAACAAGAACAATTGATACAGCGCTGCAAGCGACATAGCGACCGCAGCCATAGTATGTGTGTGTTTTGATTGGTTGCTGCATCATGTAACATAGTTTTTTATTAATATACATCAATTTGTGATAAGTATAATAATAGCAATATATAATATCTCTAAATCAATATAAAAATTAAATAAGTAATATTTTTTATGTGTCTAGCTATAATTATTTGCAACTCTCTAAAAGTTTCCTAATCTTTTTTTAAGTAAAAAAAAAACAATAATGACACGGTTCAACTTTCTATCTTTTTCATACAATGCAAAGAGGAAAAGAGAAAAGATGAACCGAGATGCAAGAAATGCGAGAAGTTCAAATAAAAATAAAAAGCATTATAGTTCACGTTATGTGTACTATAGATTTTTAATAGTGGTAGTGAATTTAACCAGCCAGTGTATATTACATATTCTATGTAATAGAAGGTTCTATGTAATATACATAGAACCTTCACCAAAGATATATTTCTCAATTTTTTAGGAAATACACATACATCATTACTTCTGTGATACCACTATAAATTCCGAGTACGATGTATTTCGATTCTAATTTTCCTCCCGTTCGCGCTGAGTGAGTAAGGTTCCGTATTGATGCTGCCATTGTGAGAGCACCAAGTCACATGCACCAATCACGGGGAATCCTGAATGTCCAGACTCTCTACTTCTAGGGACTAGGTGCATCCAGAAGCACAACCGCTCACTGCATGATGTAGACTGCGGTCCATTTGACGCTACAAACGCTTCGAAGCATTATTTGATTACTCAATTAGTTCAACAATCAGACCAAAATTCTTTGTTCTGATTGGTCGCTCAAAAGCTTCAAAGCGTTTGTAGCGTCAAATGGACCGCAGCCGTAAATATACAGGTGTAGTATTCCCGTGGATGCGCAGTCGTCTAAAGTAGAGCCAATCAGAAATCGCCCAGGATGTGAGAATTCAATATGGCTGCGAAGTGATACACTGCATTGCTGTAACGTTAGAAGAAGTTAAAGGCAAAAAATTTGAGTACAAAAGTCAAGCTTTTTTCATACAAAAAATTAATAAAATTGGCTCTTCTCTGATGAAAATAAAAATCAGAGCATAAGTCGAATATAATGGGAGAGTAACAGAAGCGTAAATGAAACTTCTAGAAGGCGAAAATTGGAACAATGAAATGTAAAAGAAGTATTTACGCTTTTTTTACATTTTGATGTTTCAATTTTCGCCTCCTAAAAGTTTCGTTTACGCTTCTGTTACTCTCCCATTACATCCGATTTACGCTCCGATTTTTATTTTCATCAGGGTTACTATAATATGTGTATATTACAGTCCCTTAATTATGAAAATATGCTTATTTATGATGTAATTAATGTACAAAAACATTTTTTGGAATGAATATTAACGCGGATTACATTTAGGATCATTGAGAGCACAGACATAACTTATTTTTAGCAACACAACAATTAACACATTAAGGACCAGCTGTTTTAAATCAAAACTATCCCG